GGGGAGGAGGAGGAGGAGGAGGAGGAGGAGGAGGAGGAGGAGGAAGAGCAGGAGGAGGAGGAGGAGGAGAAGGAGGAGGACCAATTGACCATGTGACCATTTGACCACGCACACTCGTGCGGGGTGGGGGGAGCAGAGGGAGAGGAAGGCAGAACCCCGTACGGAGGTGCTTTGGTGCAGGCGGAGCCCCGCCTCACCGCCACACCCCCACAACCGGTACTGGCCAGTTTGCCCTCCGCAGGAGGGCCAATTACCCGGCAGCGGCGGACGGTCCTACGTCCCCTCCCTGGGGGCCCCAGCGGCCCTCTCGTACGCTTTCGCCAGGCTTCCGAGATCACGCGCATCGAGGGCTGCCTGCAGGGTCCTCGGTACCCCTTCTCTGCGGGGGTACTTGCCCTCCTCGATGCGGCTTATATTCTCTCGGCCCTTTCGGGACATGCCCCCACAGTTGGCCGCCAAGTGGCGCCCATCAGCCGTGGCATATTTGCCACAGGTGGTGCAACAACTCATGAGGAAACGCTCCCGCCTCCAGACGGTGTGGGAGGGATGCACTTCCCGCCCCGCCGCCAACCCACCGCCCCCGCCCCCACCGCGCGGACAGGGAGACCACGGCATTGGGTCTTGGCGGCCTCGATAAGGCGAGAAGCAGGCACGACAATATCGCACACACTGCACCTCCATGCGCCTTCGCTTTGCTCGAAACACTGGCTAGAGGCCTGCAGCGCGAGCGTCCTCCTCGACGGGGGCGCTTTCCGTTGGACCGAGGCCCGAACCCCACTCCGCGCGCGCTCGAACCAGGGTGCCGATCGCATCCCAGTGGTCAGTCTGAGGCTAACCCCCTTTCCACCGACACCGCCCACCCTCTCCCCGCCGCAGCCTCCGCCTCTTCATCAGCCAGGGCGCTGCCCCGAATTAGGCAGGGACCGATCGGTTCGCTAGGACAGGTGGCTTCGTCCATATGAAATGGGGATCAATTTAAGGTTCACCTCTGTCGACCGAGCCTGGAGGGCCACCCGAATTTGAAACCACAAATCTTCGTTGGTACTGTTTTTCTGGAACTGCCGACCCCGCCCCCAAGCTTTCATGAGGGGCTCGTGGTCGGTCACGAACAGAAAACGCACAGGGACGTGTTCTAACGCGATGGCGAACGCGAGCAGCTCAGCACGAGGGACCGTTGGCCGCTGGCCCCCGACAGGGGTCGATAACCCCCACGCCAACCTCCAGCCCCATCGGCCGTCAGGCTGCATGGCGATCCCCGCTGTGCCACATCTACGCCTACGTGGGTCCGCACTGTGGGCCCCCCCGATCCGTCTTCGAAAACCACCACACTCCCGAACGTGGTGCTTGGCTCAACCTCGGCAATCGGGAGCGACCCCAAGGGCCGAATAGTTTCTTCTGGAAAAGACGAGAGATAGGTGTTGCTCTTAGGCGGCACGCCTTGAAGCCACAGCACTGGACAACTTTCCCACTGCGCCTGAGCCCGCTGCCTAATACTCTCGCTCTTCTCGAACTCTTCAAAGCCGACATTGCACGGGCACTCCCAAACTCGGCGAAGGAGAGTTTATGTGCCATAGTGGCACCGTGGGCACAACGTGTCAGTTACGTATCCTAAAACCGCCTGCCTTTCTCGAGTGAACTGTCTGCCCGAGACTGCAGCCTTCTGGAGCCCTGCTAGATCGTGCGCTTCCTGAGCAAGAAAATTGCGAATGCCACGACCTGCCAAGAGCACATCCCCGCCCCCGAGCTCCAGCCTCTCACCCCCATAATGAGAAGCGGCCTGGGTCCAAAACGGGGGCGGCAAGTCCTGGGTCAGATCGCTAAGCAGCTCGGTGAAATCGGCGCCCCCTTGCTCGAACCCCTCATCGCTCGCGCAAGGCAGCCTCCAAACCTCGCCCCCGCTCGTGGTCGGGCGGCGCCATGAGTCCGGGGCTAACGGGACCCACCCAGCTTCGTAGAGCGACGCGATCACCGCGCAGACGGGACTTCGCACTCGACTCCATCGCACTTTAGCAGGCCAGAGACGGGGGGTCAGATGTTTCCACGCCGCCCGATACGGTTGTGGAGCTCTGGCGAGGATTTCCAAACTCAACAAAACTCGACGACCAACTGGCGCCGCCACTGGAGCCCTGGATCTTTGGCCCCCAAGTGCATGGCGATCACAGTAGTCAGACAACGCCCAGACCCCGTTCC